AGTTAATTACTTACAATTGTAAATAAAAAATAAAAAAAGCTTAATACATATAACTAATTCAGAGATTAGAGCTTTATAAACAGTAATCACGTATTTTGAGCCAGTTAACAAAAATAAATTGTATTTAATATATAATGATTAAAGTAATTCTTATGCACAATTTATTGCACTTTACCGAAAGATGTGATCTTTGCAGAATATGAAGATTCAGATATTTTAAAAATTTTACCAATTTCAAATAAATACAATGTAATATGATTAATAGTATAATCCCCCGATTACTATATCAAGATCACAGGAGGATTAATTAATAATATCCTGACCGTATGTGAATAAGTAGAAACTTCGTTTTTGTTAATTCCCAATGAATCAGGATATTATTATTACTAATCTTGAAATTTTCTCTTGATGATTACAAGAACCATGGAGTTACCTTTTATTGCATAATTAATAATAAATGTATATATCTGACAATTCTAACTATTTAAACACATAACTTTAATAGGATAAATATGTGCGATTATTGAATATATTTTTGCAGACAAATTTATCTGCAAAGTTTAAAAGATAATTGGTAATTGTTATTATTTTAATTTAATTAATGATGCTACCTAATTGGTATTGAGTTTACAAAAAAATTTTTAATTTTTAATTATTTTAATTCAGAGCAATTAAGGATTTAATAAAACTTAGTACGTATAAATACAAATGATGCCCTGGGTGTTATCTTGAACAATGGCTTGCAATTTAGGCCATAACGATCATTTGAAATAATACTACTAGCTATTATTACATATGATTTCATGCTTATATGTAACAATTTAATTAATAGTGCTGCTTAACTAATATATATATATTAAAAGCTTGGTTAACTAATTAATATAATTTTAATTAATAGTACTACTTAATATTAACTGATATTTATTGGATGAATACTATTTAAAAATGCTGTACAAATCCTGCTTAAAGATGGCTGACAATTACTATAGGATCGATTAACATCCCTGCATATCAATATTTTAAGTGAATAATACTTGACGTATATTTTATTAATAGTGCTAGCTAACTAATATTAAGTAATATCTCAAGCCTTAAAACTAATTAAACAGTATTATACATTTTTAAAAATTTCTGAAGAGATTTTTAGTAATGGTGACATAATTAATAAATTAGATTAGATATTTAACCCATACTGTTCATAAAGTTAGCAATCGCAAATATTTAACTCAAGCTAATTTTTGCATCATGTGAAATGAAGTATATAGCAATATCATGAACCTCTAAAAATAAAAAATGCTAGTGGCGTATATAATGCTAATATTGTCATCAAAAAGGAATTGGAGTTTGAAAAAGATGAATCTAAAATATTTTAAAAAAAATTAGCAGATTGGAAACCTTAGCAGCACATATAATATCATGTTAGAAAAGAAGTTGATATTGAAAAGGATGAATATGAGACATTTATTATTATAAAAAAACAAAATAGTAAAGACAAAATACCAGTGGCACATGTAATATTGGATATTTTTATTAAAAAGAAATTGTAGCGATCCTTCATATATTGCTTCAACAATCTTGCATATAAATAGATGAGAGTGACCAATATGAATTGCTATATCTGTTTGAATACTGGTAAATTTTAAAAAATTTGATATGTTGAATGGCATTTAGCATCATTCAACTGCCATTATACTTGCATTCAATATGTTGAATAATAAGTCATTTAACTTATATTCAATATATCAAATAATATATTATATAGCTTCTGTGGCTTCACGGATATTGATGTCTGTAAAGCCAGAGAAGCTACATGATATATTATTTAATATATTGAATATAAGTTAAATGACTTATCATTCAACATATTGAATGCAAGTATAATAGCAGTTGAATGATGCCAGATGCCATTCAACACATCAAATTTTTTAAAATTTACTAGTATTTAAACAGATATGGCAATTCAAATGCTTTATTATATCTTGCTATTCTAAATTTAATAGGTGGTGTGTTTTGACAAGGAAAGAAACTAAATTAATCAGAATAAACATATAAAAAGCAGTGTCATTTAAGAATGTAATTACCCGATAATTATTAGTACATCATGAAAGATGCTAGATAGTTGTTTTCTTACTTTTTTTTTAAATAAAAAATGCTTTAAGTTTATCATTTTGACACCAAATCCTTTTCGATAACAATACAAAATATCAATATTATATATGACTAGTGTTCTCTATATCGCTATTTTTTTTTAATAATAGATAAATAATTTATATTCATGATTTTTAACTACAATTCCTTTTCAATAACAATATCAAACATTATATATATTACTAGCATTTCCTATCTGTGCTATTCTTTGATGATAAATAATGCCTTAGGTTTGTCCTTTTCAATACTAATATTATAAGTGCTATTAGAGTTTCCAATCTCTGCTAATTTTTTTTTAAATGCCTTACGTTTGCCTTCAATTCCTTTTCAATAACAATATCAAAATATTATATGTGCTACTAGCATTTTTTATTTTTTTGTTATTTTTTTTGATAATAAATGAACGCCTTAGGTTTATCTTTTTTAACTCTAATTTCTTTCTAACATTATATGTGCCATTATCTCTGTTGATTCTTTCTTAAATATTCTTTTCAACTTCAATTCCTTTCAATAACAATACACAATATATTCAACTATAGTTATTAGAAGAAATCTTTTCCGTATGATAACAAAAGGCATAACCTAAACCCGAAAAGATGAAACTCAGTGAAAGCCAAAACCCAAATTCATTTGGCGAAAGACTAAACCCTAGATTTCTCACAAAAAAAAATAAATAAATCAATAAATAAAAGAAAAAAAGTGAATATTGTTAACCTGGTAAAAGAAACGAAAAAATTTCATATAAGAAGTTTATAAATGAATCGATATCAAAGAATTAATCTCTTATATGTAAAGAATAGATGAATACATGTAATAGCAGTATTTACTATTAATAAACTCAAAACTTATTAATAGGATATACAATCTATAAACTGAAACTTATTATTATTGACAAATCCAAACATATTGCAAGAACTGAATATACCCAGATATTAAACCCAAACTTTCTTTTATTATAAGCTTATGGGATTTTTTTGTGCAGTAAACGAAGGTGCTCTTCTAAAGCTATTAATAATATTTGTAGTGAATGTTTGTTAATGAAATATCATATTTTCAAAAAGTACTTTAAAATATATAAATAAGTTACCCAGACAAATCAGCTAATCAAACAAACTTATTTCTATAAAGTTCTGACTGCATTTCTACTGTTTCATCATGAAATAATGCCTTAGAGCGTCATTTCAAGACAAAAATTTAAAATGAACTATAATTAATTTGGCCAAAGATTTTTTTAAACTTCAAATTTATTTAATAGTAAAGTTAAAAAAAATTTTCGGCCAAATTAATTATTAGTTCATTTTAAAATTTTGTCTCGAAATAATGCCCTGGGCATTATTTCATGACGATATTTTTAAAATAAGCACTTCGTGTCTTAGCATTTATTTAAACCAAACTCGTCAATAACAGCATAGCTACTCTTGAATTACTTTACATAATAACAGATTATTATTTCGTAAATTTTATAAAATGATTGAGCATTGTGAAGATCATTTTTAAATAGACGAACAAAAGAGATTAGATAATGATCATGTGCTTTGACTATAATTTTATTGGTCACTGCCCAACTCTGCGAAGTTGACTATATATATATATTTTTTTTTACATCATTATATTATTATTAAGGTATTAGTAATCTATATAAATATAGAAACTACTATCTAATTGTTTCTTAGACTGTTTTTTCTTTGGATTCAATATACAATTAGGGGGTTAATTATAGAAAAGAAAAAAGAAAGGAAGAAAAGAGCATAATTATTATCTAACCTCTTTTATTCATCCATTTAAAAATGATTTTCGCAATACTCGATTATTTTATAAAATGAACCTCACTCAGAGATTAGATCCTGATCATAGCTTGTATTGAGTATTAATTATTGTGTTTGGTAGCCTCCCTGATAATAGTTGTGGGAAGGTTATTTCATTCTAGCATAATATATATGCCTCGTTAATAGAATTGTTGGTAAACTCTGTAGCTTGACCAATTGCCAAAAGCAAGAATGGCTGATATATTAGTTCTGGTATTCTGGGCAAGATATGCCACTAGGACCTGAGTATTTTTTGCTGTAAGGTTAGGATCTGAGTAATATAAAATTTCTTTTATCTATTTAAAAATAGTATCTGAGAAAACTGGGTTATATGTGCTACTTGATGCTAAAAATATACATCTTTTTGATTTGTCCATAGTTCTGAAATTTCTTGTTTTATTCAGTAATGCATTAAGAGATGACAGGAGGCACAATAAGGTGTTCTCAGTATAATGACCAATAAAAACAATTTTGAATCATTTCTGGCCACCCTTGGATCTGAAGATTTTTGACTTCTTTGGTGAAATATATTTCATATTTGCTCTATCTGCTGTATCAGATAGGGATAATAAATCTAATTATAACAAATCAGATGGACCGGAGCCAGTGCTAATAGCAAGGAGAAAAGCGGTTTTCTTATTTAGTTGTAATAAGGGTAGGTCTTCATTATTGCCTATAATATAATAGTGTCAAAGGACTGAGAAATGTCAAAGACATCGTAAAGTAGTTCAGAAGGTAGGTTTATTATCTAAATTGCTTTTATGATTTTTACAATAATTGGATATGTCCAACTTTAACATTATCAATTTTTTGATATATTTCACTAATAGCCGAGCGATAACTCACGATCATATTGTAAGCCTTGCCTAAATTCTTTTAATGATTCAGGAATTTTGCGATCTTATTTATCCCACAGTTTGTAGAGTTGATATTTTGAGAATTACACCAATTGTGCCAAGTATAAATGCAGGAAGAAATGGTATTAGAGGCTGCAGGGTCAAGGGAGCTTGTTACTAAACTGAGTACAGTAGAGAAATATCCATCTTTCTAAAGAGAGTCCTGGAAACACGTGCTGTGTAGATTCTTCATGCTGGGTTGTGAATTAGATATATCTGAGAGATCTGTTTTGGTATAATTGCCTATGTTGGAATAGGTAGGGGCACCAATTGCAGAATCTTCTTCAGTAAAGGAAACTATAGGGCTGAGGTCTACATAGAAAAAATTATCACTGCTTGTGCTTTCTCCTGAATTATCTTGTTGATTATTTGGTTTATCAAAATCTATAGTGGGTTGATATAACCTGTAAAACTGTTCTAGAAAATTTGAAATGCATCTATTAATTGAGGGTCCTTTGTGCTTTTCCAAGAGCAATTTATTGGGAGTTTTGAATTGTTCGCATTTGCAAATAGATCTATCTGTAGCAGTCCTAATAAATGATTTATTTTTTGAAAAAATTTTGGGTGTATTTCCCAGTCATGCCTTTCTATTAGACATCATGATGCCTGTCTGCTATTATGTTGTTCTTCTCTAGTATATGGGCTGCTATAATTTTTATCGATTTCTCTAAGGTGAATGCCCAGATTGATTTGATTATCTTGCTTACTAGATAGGATGTAACACCGTCTTTATTGTTCAAGTATGTTACAGTAGTGATATTGTCTGATATGATTCTTATATTTTTTATCCCTTGCTTATAAAAGTGTTTTAAGGCGTAGTATACTGCCAGTACTTCGAGAGCATTGATGTGGAGATCTTGTTTAACTGGAGACCAGCTCCCTAAAATTATTGAGCTTCTGAGAGCTGCCCCCAACTAGTGCAAGATACGTTTGTGAAGATTGTTGTGTTTGGATCCTCCTGTAAGAGTATGATTTCATTCTATTCGTGAAGGTTGTTCATCTACCACGAGAGCTGCACTCTGCTTTGTGGTGATAATATAAGAGTAGAATCCTAACCAAATCTTTTTAAAGCAGTGTTTTTGTCGCACAATAAGTCTCAGGACATAAGACATGCAAGAAAAATTGTGCTTGCTATTGCTGTAAGTTTCTCTATTATGGATGCCAATTTGTGAACGTGAATTACTGGTCTGGTAAGTATCGACTTGCATTTCTTTATTACTTCTTTTACTTTGTGACATGGAAGAGAAATTATCATTCTTGCTGTATCTATAGTAAAACCAAGATAATCTAATGTTCTTGATAGTGTTAAAAATGATTTTTCTCAGTTTATACAAAAACTTAACGATTTTAAAAGATGGATGGTGGTATTTAAATATTTTTTGGTTTCTTGTTTGGTGCTCCCAATAATAAATATATCATTCAAATAAGCTGATATTTTGATTTCAGATGTATGCAATAGTTTTATAACAGGATGTAATATATTGGTGAAAATTATTAGGCTGGTAGAAAGACCGAATGGTAAGAAGGTAAAAATATAGTGTTCTCTACAAAAATCGAATGTGAAGTATGATTGGTCTTGGTCTTTGATAGAGATATATAAGAATGTATCCTTTATGTCTAGCGAAACTATAAAGTAGTTCAGAAAAATAAGCGACTTTACTGTATCTATATTTTCCATTTTGAAGTGATAATGCTTTAAATAATAATTAAAGTTCCTGAGATCTAGAACTAAATGGTTCTTTCCATTCTTTTTGGGAATTATGAAAATCCTGGAGATAAAGCATGGAGTCTGGTTTGTGATTTTCTTTATAATACCTCTTTTTAAAAGGGATTCTATTTTTGTCATCATTATTTGGTCGTGTTGGTGGTGAAAGATATGCTGTATAGACCTGAGCGATATTTGGTCCCACGTAGATGAATATCCTTTGTATATAATCTTTGTAACCCAAGAGTCTTCTATTAGTTTGTTCTATTGCAATATATATGAATGTAAACCTAACATTTGTGATAGGTGTGGTCTTAAGATTGAGCTTGGTTCTGGTTCTGTTTTAGATAGAACCTTGTATTGGGTGTGTAGTTTCTTGTGCTTTTCCTAAAAAAAGAGTGTACTGTGCCTTGATATCTTTATGCTAGCCATAAAAAGAAACTTTCTCTTCCCTGAGAAGTAGTTTTCTTGGCAAAATATTAATGTTTTTGATAATAAAGTATATTCTGTATTAGCTTGTTCTTTGTATTTTCCTTTTCCAAAGTCTTTTTAAGTTCTGTAGGGCTGAAAACTTCCTCCTGTTCTGACGCCAGTTGATGTGAAGGTGATAAACATTTGATTGCTTCATTACATCTGATTTCATTAGTATAGGAAAGGCTGTCAAGTAATAAACTTCTAGAGTCCAGCAAGGACTGTTCCAAAGCCTTCTAGAATTGTAGTGCTTTATTATCCGAATCCTTAGGTTTTGAGTCGTATAATAGGCGTAATGCATTGTCGATAGGGCGTAACGCAGCTGATGTTCTGTAGGATATTTTGGCAAATAGTTTGTTATTTTCCCTAACGGTTCTAGACATAAATTTTCACAAGTTTTTGTCCATAGTTGGTAGTTTAAAAACAATATGCTTGTTATGTAAGTGTGACTGTAATATAGATTTGCGTTCTTCAAGGGTAAGTAAATTGTTTTTAAAAATTTTTGTAAGCAGGTTGCACATTTCAACTAGTGGCTGCCATGTATAGCCCTATTTATGGGGTCTTCCTGGTCATCTGGTTCAAAAATGTTACTAAGGGCGTCTTCGTCCTGAAAAGAATTAGCAGGTTCTTGGGTAGATGCTGGCTCATGGATATTGTTGTCTAGTGTTTGGTAGGTGGAGTGTATGTCTGACATAAAAGAAAGTGTTACTCAAGTACAGACAGTACCAAGAAAAACAGTCTAAGGAACAATTAGAAAGTAGTTTTTATATTTATATAAATTACTAATACCTTAATAATAATGTAATGATATAAAAAAAAAAAAAAAATGTAGTACAACTCTGCAGAGTTAGGCAGCAACTAATAAAATTACAGTCAAAGCACATGATCAGAATCTAACCTCTGAGTGAGGTTCATTTGAAATTTGTTATCCTTTGCTATTTCAACAGTTTCATTACCCTTATCAGTTTCATCAGCGTTCGTCAGTTTCACCACCTTTTGCTAGTTTTGGCATCTTTTATTAGCTTCGCCACCTTTTGTCAGTCTCATCATTTAAAGTTTTATTTAATAAAAAATGAAATTAGATTTTGCATTTTGTTAGTGTCAAATCTCTGAGTGTTATATAACTACTATATATTCAACACTATATATATTACACAACTATATATTCAGAACCATACATGTCACCTTGGATATTAGCACAAAAAAAATTAATATATGCTTCTAACTTTGCTGATTTTTTTTTAAAAAAAGCCATTAAAGCTATTAAAGCTATTAAAAGCCTTAAAAGCTATTTTTTTTAAAAAACAAATGCAATCTATTAAAAGCCGTTAAAGCTTGAATGCTATTTTTTTTTTAAAAAAATACAAACTATTACAAACTATTAAAAGCTATTAGTTGTTAAAAGTTGTTAGCCATTATAAAGGCTGCTAAAAACTATTAAAAGCCATTAGCTGTTAAAAATCCTTAGCTATTATAATTATAAAAGCTGCTAAAAACTGTTAACCATTAAAAACTGTTATTCTAAAAACTGCTAGCCATTAAAAGACTTACCCTGCAGCACCCACAAAATTTTTCTGAAAAAGCGATTTTTAAAGTTCATTATATCACTAATGATAAAATTTTTAAAGTTTATTTATGTTAGGGTTAGCATTTACTTTAGAGTTAGATATTAGACAAATTTATAGTAAAATGGCTTGAGGAAAATTTTTTATTAAAACACAAAAGGTGATTTCTTAAGCTTATTTTCAAGAAATATACGATTTTTGACTTTTATTTAACAAAGCAAACGTTTGTTTTAAATTTTCCTGATCGTATAACATTATATCTGATCCTGAAATTTGATTGGCAAAAAATCACGTGTTCGGAAAAAATTTGTGGGTGCTGCAAGGGAAGTCACCATTAAAAACTGTTATCATATAATAATGGTTACTATTTCTGCATAACTACCCCTGCATACTTACTTCTGCATAATTATCCTTGCGTGCTTACTCCTGCATAATCTCCCTTGCATTATTACCTGCATAATCGCCCCTGTTATTAGCATCACGTGACATATTGAGTTAAACCTCAACTGACTTCTAAGTTAGTTAACTCAATTTTTAAGTTGAGTTGAGCAGAGTAGAGCTTTTAACATCCCTACGTGGATTTCACTTTTTCATATTATTATCATTTATTTTTAATAATCATCTGAATTGACAAAATCTACCCATACAATAGAATTCATAATTTATGCGTGCGGTATATATATTAGATTTATTGATGATTATAAAAGACAACAAAATAGAAAACAAATCTGAAAGCTCTGATAGAAGAAATGCCAGAAATAGCGAATAAAAGAAAGTATTAGAATGTTATCAAAAATCAGTGGAGATGGCTCATGCTGATGGAATACATATGGACAAATATTGCTATGAGAGCAGAAAAGAAATAAACCAAGATATAAAAAATCTATAGGTACATATAATTCGATTATTGATATCTTAAATTTTAAATTTTAACAATCTATTAGATATATATAAAGAACTTTGTATCAAACTAAATTGCTAACAATAAATAATAACAAGAAATATAAAGCTATACAAAATTAATTTTTTGTTTCTTATAATATAAAATTTTAAAAATAACCTGGCTGGCCGGCTTTTATTTTTTAGAAAATTTTTTAAAAAAAATTTTAAAAAAAAAAATTTAAAATCCTACTTGACCATTAAAACATATAAAAAAATTTCTAAAATTTCCAAAATTTAACCTGGCCAGGTTAGAAAAAACAATTAAATTTGTATAGCCTAATAATTAAATTAATATACTATAAATAAATTAAAAGGAATATAAATAACTGCAAGTAAAAAGTATATAAAACTCAAACCTATCTTCTAATAGTTTTGACAAATTTTTTAGTTTTACTTATTAGGTTGAAGATTATAAAAGTTAACCCAATTTTGACTTTCATCAATATTAAAATCTATAGGCTTCGTCTAACAAATATAATCTAAATGTACTATCAATCTTGAAAACAAACTCACTTACTAGAGATCTAACTACAAAAAAAGCTATTTCTTTTGTTTTAGAGATTCTTATATAGTATAAGTAACAACTGAATTTAAAAAAATGCTTTATAGCTGACTTTTATAAATATTCTCTATTATCATGATTATTTTAACAACATATAGAGCGAAAGGTATATTTGGTTTTCTGAATAATTCGTTTAAAGTCAGATTATATCTGCGGTATATATGTGAATAAATTTTAGTAATTGACCAATTATAGATGATCTTGGCTAGAGGTGTTTATTTTTGAAGGTTAATGATTATCATAGGGTGTGCTTATTTTCAGAGGTGTTTATTTTCGGCGATTTACAGTATCTAGTAATTTTAAACTCTAATAACTTTTTAAATTTATAATAAAAATAAAAATCTATTCTAACAAAATTGTAGCTTAGACTAAAAGCAACAA